TCAATGATCTGAAAGGTCCCTTCCAAACTGAACGATTCTATGATTCGATGAATGAAGATGGGGATGGAGACAGGGATGTGGATGGAAATGGAGATGAGATGAGATGGAGATGGAGATGGAGATGGAGATGGAGATGGAGATGGAGATGGAGATGGAGATGGAGATGGAGACAGGGATGGGGATGAGGGTGGGGACTGGGATGGGGATAGACATGGAGATGGAAACAGAAATGGAGGTTTAGATGGAGATGACAAAGATGGAGCAGCCTCCACCTGGGCTGGCCATGGCTTGAGGATGTGGATGCTCGTGATAGGGCATAAGTTCTTGACCTGGCTTTTCTCTGCAGCCTCCCACTCCGGAAACAGACTATCCTGACCTGTCTCCAGATGAGCTGGAGGGTTATCCCGAGGAGGACTACTCGCCCGTGGGCTCCTACGATCAGGGGGCTGCTTTCTCTCTGTCCGTGAGGCGGCCCGAGGAGCTGGGCTCACCCCCGGGATGGTACGGACACAGCCACCCCGAGGGAGCCGTGTTCTACCCCGAGCACTTCACCTCCGACACGGTACGGGGACGGGGACGGGACACGGGATGTCACATCCTGACATGGGATGGGGATGGGAATATGGACGGGGATGGGAAGAGGGACAAGGATGGGGATGGGGACAGGGATGAGGATGGGGATAGGGACAGAGATGGGGATATAGATGGGACAGGAACAGAGATGGGAATGGGGACAGAGCTAAGGAAAGGGCCAGGGATGGACATGGGGACGATGACCAGAACAGGGACTGGGATGGAAGGGCAACGAAGCTGGTGAGGGGTCTGGAGAGTAAGTCTGATGAGGAGAGGCTGAGGGAGCTGGGGGTGTTCAGTCTGAAGAAGAGGAGGCTGAGGGGAGACCTTCTCGTGCTCTATAACTACCTGAAGGAGGGGTGTAGAGAAGCGGGGGTTGGTCTCTTCTCCCAAGTCACAGGAGACAGGACAAGGGGAAATGGCCTCAAGTTGCGCCAGGGGAGGTTTAGATTGGAGATTAGGAAACATTTCTTCATGGAAAGGGTTATCCAGCATCGGAATGGGCTGCGCAGGGAAGTGGTTGAGGCACCATCCCTGCAGGTGTTCAAAAGATGGGTTGACATGGTCCTCAGGAATATGGTTTAAAGATTTTTTATTGCTTATTTCTTATATATTTTTTTGTCAGAGTTAGGTTGATGGTTGGACTAGATGATCTTTAAGGTCCCTTCCAACCTAGACAATTCTATGATTCTATGGGGACAGGGATGGGATATGGACAGGGACAGGGATGGGATATGGACAGGGACAGGGACGAGGATGGGGAGGGGGATGAGGACTGGGATAGGGACAGAGATGGGACAGGGACAGGGATGGGGATGGGGATGGGGATGGAGATGGAGATGGGGCTAGGGACAGGGAGGAAGATGGGGACAGAGCTAGGGAAGGAGACAGGGATGGACATGGGGACAATGCCCAAGATGGGGACAGGGATGGAATATGGACAGGGATGGAGACAGGGAAGTGACAAAGATGGGGACAGGGATATCTACCAGGGGAAAAGCATCCTCACGGGGCCACAAAAGCAGAGGGCAGGAACCCAGGGGTGCAAAGCCCAGCACCCTCCAGCATGGGCACCTCAGGTATCACCCGCTCCCTCCCTCCCTCCCCAGGTGCCGGCCAGTGGCCGCCACAAGCGGGCCAGCAGTGGCTCCAGCCAGGACAGCGGGCTCTTTGCCTGGCACAGCCCCGTGTCCCCGGCGCTGGGGCTCAAGGAGGAGAAGGTGAGAACCCCAGGGAGGGACGGGGGACCCTTCCCCACCCCAGCACCGGGGAGGGCAGGGAGCAAACCTGACATCCTCCCCCTCCACCCTTCCTCTTCCAGTTTAAAAGCCTCGAAAAAGCCGGGGTGCTCAACCGGACCAAGACGGTGGACAGAGGGAAGCGGCTCCGGTAAGCGCGTCCTGGTGTCCCCCACCAGCGGAGGAGGGAGCCCCAGGGGGGTGGAGGGGACAGGGCTGTGCTGTCCCCCTGTGTGACCCCCCCCTCTGCTCCCCAGGAAGAACTGGAGCTCCTCCTGGACGGTGCTGGAGGGGGGGATCCTCACCTTCTTCAAGGACTCCAAGCACTCGGCTGCTGGTGCCTTGGTAAGAGCCCCAACGGCCTCGGTGGGGCCAGCACCCATGGGACGGGGCCAGCACCCATGGGACAGGGCCAGCACTCATGGGATGGGGCCAGCACCCATGGGATGGGGCTAGTAGCTACAGGGCAGGGCCAATAGCTGTAGGACAGGGCCAGCGCCCACGAGATGGGGCTGGCAGCTGTGGGATGGGGCCAGCACCCATGAGATGGGGCCAGCATCTGTAGGATGGGGCCAGCACACATAGGATGGGGCCAGCAACCTGCAGGATGGGGCCAGCACCTGCAGGATGGGGCCAGGACCTGCAGGATGGGGCCAGCACACATGGGATGGGGCCAGCACCTGTAGGGTGGGGTTGGCAGCTATAGAATGGGACCAAAACCCATGGGATGGGACCAGCACCCACAAGACAGGGCTGGCACCCGTGAGACAGGGCCAGTGAGCGCTGGATGGGGTCAGCACCCGCGGAATAGGGCCAGCACCCGTGAGTCAGGGCTAGCAACCACAGGATGAGGCCAGGTCCCATGAGGATGGGGCCAGCACCCATGGGAGAGGGCTTGGACTCCTGGGACAGAGTCAGCACCTATGGGATGGGGCTGGAACCCATGGAAAGGAGCCAGGACCCATGGGATAGGGTCAGGATCTGTAGGATGGGGCCAACACCTGCAGGATGGGGCCAGCACCTGTAGGATGGGGTCAGCACCCATGAGTCAGGGCCAGCAACCACAGGATGAGGCCAGCTCCTACGAGATGCCCCATGGGAGAGTGCTCATAGCCATGGGACAGAGGATTTTTTATTGCTTATTTCTTATATATTTTTTTGTCAGAGTTAGGTTGATGGTTGGACTAGATGATCTTTAAGGTCCCTTCCAACCCAGACGATTCTATGATTCTATGGGGACAGGGATGGGATATGGACAGGGACAGGGATGGGATATGGACAGGGACAGGGACGAGGATGGGGAGGGGGATGAGGACAGGGATAGGGACAGAGATGGGACAGGGATGGGGATGGAAATGGAGATGGGGCTAGGGACAGGGAGGAAGACGGGGACAGGGCTAGGGAAGGAGACAGGGATGGACATGGGGACAATGCCCAGGATGGTGACAGGGATGGAATATGGACAGGGATGGAGACAGAGAAGTGACAAAGGTGAGGACAGGGATATCTGCCAGGGGAAAACCATCCTCACGGGACCACAAAAGCAGAGGGCAGGAACCCAGGGGTGCAAAGCCCAGCACCCTCCAGCGTGGGCACCTCGGGCATCACCCTCTCCCTCCCTCCCTCCCTCCCCAGGTGCCGGCCAGTGGCCGCCACAAGCGGGCCAGCAGTGGCTCCAGCCAGGACAGCGGGCTCTTTGCCTGGCACAGCCCCGTGTCCCCGGCGCTGGGGCTCAAGGAGGAGAAGGTGAGAACCCCAGGGAGGGACGGGGGACCCTTCCCCGCCCCAGCACCGGGGAGGGCAGGGAGCAAACCTGACATCCTCCCCCTCCACCCTTCCTCTTCCAGTTTAAAAGCCTCGAAAAAGCCGGGGTGCTCAACCGGACCAAGACGGTGGACAGAGGGAAGCGGCTCCGGTAAGCGCGTCCTGGG